TATTTGTGCCTCTGGAAGAAATGATTTTGTTTTGTTTTGGAGTAAATGATCTTTAAATAGAACACTTTAAAGCACTGCTAGCGCTTTTCAGTAAATGCAGAAATTACCCACCCCATAACTGAGAAGAGTAGACGCAATGATAAAAAAAGCATAATCAAATTTTATTGAAAAAGAGTGACAGATTTCAGCAAGTTGCAGCACATTTCCGATGAAGTACTTAGCCTTCGTTCTGATGCGAGCGATATTATCAGGGCAGTGTAAGTCAGGAAGGAAAATTGGGTTGGGAGTGTGGCAAAAACGAAGGATAGCAATTGGGAGAAGCGGATAATTGAATGGTACCAGCGCAATGTTGAAAGAACATAGGAAAGCCATTAGTGCAGCGGAAGAATTTGTTTGACCAGTTATATGGAATTATATGGATAAGAGGAGCTCAAAATGAAGAACTGATTGCACCAGTGGCAAGAAGGGACAACTGAAACTGCAGTTGATCAAATTTTTAAAGAAAAAGCCTTAACTCATTTGTGAACTTCTACTGTGGCGCACTTTTGCTGAGATTCAAAATGGTGGGTTTATAGAAGCTGCTCTGTCCGCAAGGAACTGAATTCCTTGAAAAAATAAAGAAAATTACCTTTTGCATCCTGAACGGAATCTCCATAGTATAACCAGGAGGAACGTTAACACCTTCAAGCGATGACTCAGGAACATCAGTTTGATTGTAAATCAAAATTTTAAGACCCGGTAAACTCATCGTACGAAAATGTGTCGTACAACTTTCTACGCGTTCATAGCTTTCAATATTTAACAATAATTTGAGACCATTGCCGGATCCTGAAAAATGGAATATTATTCTAATGACCGTTTATGCCGGTCAATATCTTGTGTTGTTGTGATGTATTTAGTATATATGTTGCAGATTCTACCACTTGTGGATATGTAATGAGGATCATTTGGATCCGTGTTAATAGCCCAACATAAACCAGTAAGTGTCCAGACCGCCTTGAAATTTGACATCCGACAAGTCGTACCATTTGGCCACGTGCAACTGAAATCATATAAAATGATAAATCACCTCCACAGTTCACTGAATATAAAAGACGGAAGTTTTGGAACCAACCCGAGTGGTAGCGCGTGCTAATAGTAACCATTCGCCAGCAAAGCTGTAAGCTGACGGCGCGAAATTTGATACCTCAGGATCATTCTTGATTTCCAGTGTGCCGCATTCCGAAGAAATTTAACTGCATCCATATCCCATGCATTTTCCAGAACTTTATCAAAAACCGTTGCATTCGCGCCTTTTGAAAAATTATGAGTTTTTCGCGGCTCTTTCGGTTTGCGATTCTGGATAGCTGGACCCGTTAAATAAGTTAACCTGGAAATTTCCCGTACTTTCATCTAGACTGGAAAGACAGTAGATGTTTCAAAGTACCAATGCATAAAGCGCGCGAGGGGCCTAGGGTTGCAAACGTGTTATTATTCCTGACTGAAACAAGTAAACAAAGCAAGTAAAAATCTTTTTTTTT